GGGATAGATTGTTGCTGAAATTTAGTCAAATTGGGTGTTTCTGATTCTCTTAGATGAGAAACGGGTCTCAGTTTTGTTTTCCTTGTTTGGCATGACATTTAATTTTCTCAATCTGAATTGTGTACTTCATAGAATCAAGTAGCTCGTATGCTGCTGAATTTTACCTTTATATTGGTTGGTTATTGCACAGAAAAACGTTTTATTTCACTTGTAACTCTTCATAGTTCATAAATTGGGTTTGAGTTATGTTTCCCGATATCTTGTTTGAAGAAAGTTCCCAACCCTCTCTGGATTTTTCTTTTTTTTTTGGTTTCATTTTCACCTATTAGTTTGGAAGGTAAAATCTAGTCTTTTGGGAGTGTATTAATCAAGATTTGTTATAGTATTCTGCTGAAATGGCATTTTATTTATCGATAATTTTGGTCTTTCCATTTGTAGATGTGTTGTTCTTGGTGGTAGCAAAGCGGAAGATAAGCAACTCCAATTGGTTCACACAAAAGACCATGTCAATTTAGTTAAGAGTATTAGCACAAAAAAGAAAGATATTCGGAGAAACAAGATTGCTTCACAATTGAATTCGATATATTTGAATGGAGGTTCGTCTGAAGCCGCATATCTTGCAGCCGGATCTGTTGTGGAGGTAATACTAAATGCATACAAATGACTTGTCTCTTTTACATAGGAGGATAGAATACCGTTATAATGATTCGAGTGATGATTGGTAACAATTTTTTCTTGTAACTTATTAGTTGGCGGAGAAAGTTGCAGAAGGAGAGTTAGACTGTGGCTTTGCTATTGTCAGGCCCCCAGGACACCATGCTGAAGCAGATGAAGCCATGGGTTTTTGTTTATTCAACAATGTAGCAGTTGCTGCTAGTTATTTACTAAATGAAAGAGTAAGGACTTCTATTGACTTTTCTGATGCTATTCTTTCTTTTACACGCTTCCAAATTATTTGTTCATAACCTTTTTTTTTTTTAAATGCAGCCGGATTTAGGTGTTAAGAAAATTCTTATTGTTGATTGGGATGTCCATCATGGAAATGGTACACAGAAGATGTTCTGGAAAGATCCTCGTGTGCTATTTTTCTCTGTTCATAGGTATGTATGTGTGCGCCAATTTTCTACTCTTCTTTTCAAACTACTTTGTCACATGATCGTTGTTGAGTTTTATGCTTGTAAAGTGACTAGAAATGCATTTGTGGCTAGGCATGAGTATGGAAGTTTCTATCCAGCGGGTGATGATGGATATTATAACATGGTTGGGGAAGGTCCAGGTGAAGGGTTTAACATAAATGTGCCATGGGAGCAAGGAAGATGTGGAGATCCAGATTATCTTGCTGCATGGGACCATATCTTGATTCCTGTGGCGAAGGAGTTTAATCCCGATATTATTTTGCTTTCAGCTGGGTTTGATGCAGGTATATATATGGTCTATTCATTTTTTTCAAGGCTATGTCACGTTAAATGGTGCGTTACCTTTTCAACTTCCTCTAAACAGCTATTGGTGATCCGCTCGGGGGTTGTCGTGTTACACCATACGGATATTCAATCATGTTGAAGAAGGTTGGTGTTGAAGTGAACTGCCCCATTGTTTGTATTTACATTCCACGGGTCTCTATCACTGAAGATAACACTGCTTCGTTTGGCTGGTTGTTTAGCTCTGAGCCGAACCAATGTTCACTTGGATTTTACTTTATTTAATATGTTTCACCAATGTTCTCTCAGCTGATGGAGTTTGCACAAGGAAAAATTGTGATGGCGTTAGAGGGAGGGTACAATCTTGACTCAATTGCAAAGTCTTCACTCGCTTGTGTCAAAGTTTTGCTTGAAGACGAACCAATTCAAGGTTCTTCTAAAGCCTACCCATTCGAGTCTACATGGCGTGTCATACAAGCGGTATGGCCTATCTTCTAACTTTCCCATTTCACAGTTTGAAATAATTTCGTATGAATTGGCTTTGATTTCTTTTTCCAGCTCAGTTTTCTGTCATAAATATTCTATAATGCCTATGTTACTAGTTGACAAAGCTCATCTGTTTCTTCTGGGTTTAGGTACGCAAGAGACTATGTGCGTATTGGCCTTCACTTGCGGATGAATTATCGTGGAAGCTGATTGATCAGAAAACTCCTACTCCAGTTGGGCACCTTTCCTCTTGTCTATCATTTCCATTTTCATTGTTCATCAGAGAGCATTTCCTTGCCATTGATTTGAAAAACCTCACTTCCTTTTCATTAAGCAACTACATCTTAACTTGCCTCTTTGCTAACTTTCCTCTGCTTGGTCTTCTTTTTATCTCTAGACATTCTCTGAGTCTCTTATCACAAAATTGCTTTTGTTTGTTCGTTCTAGATCATCATCGTTAGCTCAAGCTCAGACTCTGAAACTGAAGACGATACTCATGGAATTGTGGATCAAATGTCGAAACTCAACATTGAAAAACAAGAAGGTACACTAAATGAAAACGACCAAGTGGATACTGCTTCTACATCTTGGAGAGCTGATCTCGCAAAGGTAGACGTTTGGTATGCCTCTTATGGATCCAACATGTGGAAACCGAGGTTCCTTTGCTATATTCAAGGGGGACAAGTAAGTAACCCTGTTTTTTTCTTTCTTTTTTTGGAGTCGAGTCCGAGCTTAATTGATACATCTATCATCATTTGTGTTTATTTCAGGCTGAGGGAATGAAAAAGGCATGTGTTGGTTCAATGGATAAAAGTCCACCAAAGGGAATAATGTGGGAAACATTTCCACACAGATTATTCTTTGGCCGCGAATCTACAGCTACTTGGGGTGTAGGAGGAGCTGCTTTCACCAATCCCCTTACTAATATCAATGACCAAACTCATATGTGTATCTACAGAATCACGTTAAGTGTACCGCTCTTCATATCAGTTTCTGTTTCACTTTTCATATTTAAATCATTTGGTGATCTTTTCTGCTTATTGTGCAATAAATGGTTGTTTTTTTTTTCTTGAACAGGCTTGAGCAGTTCAACGATGTTTTGTTTCAGGAAAATGGTTTGAATGTAGACTCTGATTTTCCGCTCTTTGATCTAGCTGCTCTGCAGTTAGTAGAGAACAAAGGATCCGGTTCACTTGAAGCTTCGGTTAGTCAGACAACCAATGTTGATTGATACGCTAAGAGAAACATTTAATCATCACACTTATATTCTGTGTTTTGACATTTTTACAGAATGGTTGGTATAACAACGTAGTCTGCTTGGGGAAAGAACTCAACATCCCTATACTCACAATGACGTACGTTTTCATCAGTTTACAAACCCACTAAGAAAATGCTCTCTCTCTATACTTCATAACTTTCCTGCGGTTTTCTTAAATAACATTTCGTTTGCAGGTGCACGCTTTCGACTTTTGAGAAGTTCAAGTCCGGTGAGATCCCTCTAAGACCTCCCGCAAAAGCCTATGCCGACACTTTGGTAAGGGGCCTTGTGGAAGGAGGAAGATTCTCTGAAGAAGAAGCTGAGTCTTACATAGACAATGCTGCCTCTAAACCTCTCTAATAAATTATTTACTCGGAAACCAGCTCTTGGTCGTGCGATTTGGAGCTTCGGTTTTCTGATCTATTCGTTTTAAAATTAAAACCACAGGTTAAAAGAACTACTGTGTGACTTAAAAAGAAGATTGTGTCTTCTATTAGCGAGCTGTGTTATGCTCAAGTTTGCTTAGGTGCAAACCCTGTTGTATTAGGCGTTTTGGTTATCTTCGGTTTAGGCTTTACCGAAAAATTGTATCCGGTCTAGTTTATGGTTTGTGTAGGCATTGGTTCTTGAATGCCCTTTGTTTAGAATGCAAATCAATATTTTGAAACTTGGTTTACGGATTGATATGTTTATTGGTATTTGAAGAAGAATTCTTCGCTTGCACGATTTTTTAAGTGAGGGAAAATAACACTTGACATATATATATAAAGAGAGAATGACCATTTTAAATATGAACTCTACAGATTGAGCCAATTTAATTAYAAACTTGCTAATGATCMATATAAATTACGAAYTTTAAGTCAATTGAGCCATTTGAGTTATGAATTTAGTCAACATTATTAACCGTTTAAGAGACGTTAATGATCCCTAGTTTCTCATCTTCGATATCAC